CATTTTGGTGTTCCCTTGAGATATTGGACGTCTTTTGAATGATTTGGGACCCCACAAACCCAGAGGGGCATAGGCATAGATCACAACAAAAAGGATTTACACGCCATGGACTCGCTGATTGTCAAGCTGTGATGCGGCAAGAGTAACCTTTCGGGGACGGGTTGCTATAGATGTGCACGCGTTGTGAAGCTTTACACCCAGAAGAGTCTTTGTTGACATTTAAGGGCATGGCTGAAGATTGTCATGATTATCTACCCAGGATGGTTTACCAATTTACTGCCAAACGTTGTAATTTTTGTGGATGTTTGGCTTGTGGTGAGGCCTTTGATTTGGAGGAAGAAGTCCTGTCTCATCTGCGAGAGCATGGAGATTGCGACATGGGAGCCTTACGGCAGGCAGGACTGCTGCAGATAGCTTTTCTTGCGACCTGTGCGTACTAAAGTATCTAAAGGGCAGGGGTTCTTAGGTGGGTTCAGAGCAGGTCGTGAGATCATTTTCATATATTTTCCAATCCAATCAAACAATATAAGCTTTTCCTCGGATGACGCCTTTCCAGTGCTAGCGACAGGGCTTCTGAGGTAAATGACCTGGGAAGACGCTTCAACGAGGTCTTCTTTCACAAGTCAAAGGCAAAGTGAAGGGCTAGCCGCAGCCGCAACGAGTTCGCCTACAGATTGCATGGGCCTGCAGTGCTTTTTGACTGGTTTCCACTTGTGCAGAATGACAGGTCAATGATGGTTCTTGGAAGAAATGGTCGTTTCCTGAGAGAGGACCGGAGCGCAAGTTCTTTCAATCCAGTCCCGACCAGTCTATCAGTCTGTCAGCTCTTCCGCCCGCTCCTAGGTTGGTGTCCATGAGTGCGGTTGAAGTAGTTTGTGATCCAAAGTCCGCCTGGCAAATTGAAGTGTTGTTCGATGTTGATCGGAAGTTTTTTAGAGTGGGGACTCGCAATGCTGTTTCAAAGGTGCAGTGGGCGCAGATTGAACATTCCGCATATATTTCCACAGTTACCCTCTGGTAAACTAACATAGCTATGGAAAATCACCATTTTTAATGGGAAAATCCACTATTTCCCCAGATAGCTGGCAAGCTATAGGGGTTCTTACTTCTCTAAGGTGGGGTCTCCGGTGGCGAACTTTTGAGCCAGGGTGCTGTGCAGGGTGCTGTGCAGGGTGCTGTCCAGACTGCGGTGGCGAAGTCTGGCAAAGGTGCTGTGCAGGGTGCTGGTGCAGGGGCTGTGCAGGGTGTGTCCAGACTGCGGTGGCGAAGTCTGGCAAAGGTGCTGTGCAGGGTGCTGTGCAGGGTGCTGTGTCCAGACTGCGGTGGCGAAGTCTGGCAAAGGTGCTGTGCAGGGTGCAGGGTGCTGTCCAGACTGCGGTGGCGAAGTCTGGCAAAGGTGCTGTGCAGGGTGCTGTGCAGGGTGCTGTGCAGGGTGCTGTGCAGGGTGCTGTGCAGGGTGCTGTGCAGGGTGTTGTTCAGAGTGCGGTGGCGAAGTCTGGCAAAGGCAGGGTGCGGTGGCGAAGTCTGGCAAAGGTGCTGTGCAGGGTGCTGTGCAGGGCGCTCTGCAGGGTGTTGTCCAGAGTGCGGTGACTTCGCTGGCAAAGGTGCTGTGCAGGGTGCTGTGCAGTGTGCTGTGCGGGGTGCTGTCCAGACTGCGGTGGCGAAGTCTGGCAAAGGTGCTGTGCAGGGTGCTGTGCAGGGTGCTGTGCAGGGTGCTGTCCGGACTGCGGTGGCGGGGTCTGGCCAGGGTGCTGTGCAGGGTGCTGTGCAGGGTGCTCTGCAGGGTGTTGTCCAGAGTGCGGTGGCGAAGTCTGGCAAAGGTGCTGTGCAGGGTGCTGTGCAAGGTGCTGTCCAGACTGCGGTGGCGAAGTCTGGCAAAGGTGCTGTGCAGGGTGCTGTGCAGGGGGGCTGTGCAGGGTGCTGTGCAGGGTGCTGTGCAGGGTGCTGTCCAGACTGCAGTGGCGAGTGCTCTTCAGACTGCAGTGGCGAAGTCTGGCAAAGGTGCTGTGCAGGGTGCTGTGCAGGGTGCTGTCCAGACTGCGGTGGTGAAGTCTGGCAAAATTGCTGTGCAGGGTGGTGTCCAGACTGCAGTGGCGAAGTCTGGCAAAGGTGCTGTGCAGGGTGCTGTGCAGGGTGCTGCGCAGGGTGCTGTGCAATTTGCTACGCAGGTTTTGTCTAGACTGCGGTGGCGAAGTCTGGCAAAGGTGCTGTGCAGGGTGCTGTGCAGGGTACTGTGCAGGGTGCTGTGCAGGGTGCTGTGCAGGGTGCTGTGCGGGGTGCTGTGCAGGGTGCTGTGCGGGGTGCTGTGCACGCTGCTATCCAGACTGCGGTGGCGAAGTCTCGCAAAGGTGCTATGCAGGATGTTGTGAAGGGTGCTGTGAAAGGTGCTGTGCAGGGTGCTGTGCAGGGTGCTGTGCAGGGTGCTGTGCAGGGTGCTGTGCAGGGTGCTGTGCAGCGTGCTGTGCTTTGGTTCCCACGTTGGGAACCATCAGTTCCAAGCTTTAGGAACTGGAAGTTCTTTGCAATGGTAACCTATGGTTCCCAGGTTGGGAAGCATGAGTTCCAACATCTGGGAACCGGCAGTTGCTTGCAATGGTAACCTCTGGTTCCCAGGTTGGGAACCAGGAGTTCCAACCTCTGGGAACCGGCAGTTCCTTGCATTGGTAACCTGTGGTTCCCACATTGGCAAGCGTGAGTTCCAACCTTTGGGATCCGGCAGTTCCTTGCCATGAACCAAACGCAAACATTCTGGTACCGGTCCATTAAGCAAAACAAAGCGTTCTTTACCGGTCCATTAAGCAAAACCATAAAGTTGTAAAGAATAAAGAAAATGTTTTCATATCATTTTGACATGCACCTTTGTCGTGCAAAAACATTTTTATGCCGGCCCAGCAGCCGAACGCAAACATTCCACTACCGGTCCATTAAGCAAAACAAAAGGCTCTGTTACCGGCCCAGTAAGCAAAACAAAACAACATTAAGAACCATGAGTTCGAACTTTTTGGAATCAACAGATCCTTCCACTGGTAACGTATGCTTTTTGAGGTTTGGAACCATGAGTTTCAAGCTTTCGCAACCGGCAATTCCTTACAATGATAGTTGCTTAGCTTCGAAAACATAAATTCTAACTTCTGGGAACCGGCAATTCCTTGCAATGGTAACCTCTGGTTCAGGTTGGGAACCGTAAGTTTCAAGGTCTGGGAACCAGTTCCTTGCCATGGTAATTCCCACGTTTCAGTTCCAACCTTTAGGTAAGTTCTTTGCAATGGTAACCTATGGTTCCCAGGTTGGGAAGCATGAGGGAACCGGCAGTTGCTTAAGTTTCAAGGTCTGGGAACCGGCAGTTCCTTGCCATGGTAACCTTTGGTTCCCACGTTGGGAACCATCAGTTCCAACCTTTAGGAACTGGAAGTTCTTTGCAATGGCAACCTATGGTTCCCAGGTTGGGAAGCATGAGTTCCAACCTCTGGTAACCGGCAGTTGCTTGCAATGGTAACCCATGGTTCCCAGGTTGGGAAGCATGAGTTCCAACCTCTGGGAACCGGCAGTTGCTTGCAATGGTAACCCATGGTTCCCAGGTTGGGAACCAGGAGTTCCAACCTTTGGGAACCGGCAGTTCCTTGCCATGAACCAAACGCAAACATTCCGGTACCGGTCCATTAAGCAAAACAAAGCGTTCTTTACCGGTCCATTAAGCAAAACCATAAAATTGTAAAGAAACTGTTTTCATATCATTTTGACATGCACCTTTGTCGTGCAAAAACATTATTATGCCGGCCCAACAGCCAAACGCAAACATTCCGCTACCGGTCCATTAAGCAAAACAAAAGGTTCTGTTACCGGCTCAGTAAACAAAACAGAACAACATTAAGAACCATGAGTTCTAACTTTTTGCAATCAACAGATCCTTCCGCTGGTAACGTTACTTTTCAGGCTTGGAACCATGAGTTTCAAGCTTTGGGAACCCGCAGTTCCTTACAATGATAGCCGCTTAGCTTCGAAAACATAAATTCTAACTTCTGGGAACCGGCAATTCCTTGCAATAGTAACCTCTGGTTCCCAGGTTGGGAACCGTAAGTTTCAAGGTCTGGGAACCGGCAGTTCCTTGCCATGGTAACCTTTGGTTCCCAAGTTGGGAACCATCAGTTCCAACCTTTAGGAACTGGAAGTTCTTTGCAATGGTAACCTATGGTTCCCAGGTTGGTAAGCATGAGTTCCAACCTCTGGGAACCGGCAGTTGCTTGCAATGGTAACCTCTGGTTCCCAGGTTGGGAACCATGAGTTCCAACCTCTGGGAACCGGCAGTTCCTTGGAATGGTAACCTGTGGTTCCCACGTTGGCAACAGTGAGTTCCAACCTTTGGGAACCGGCAGTTCCTTGCCATGAACCAAACGCAAACATTCCGGTACCGGTCCATTAAGCAAAACAAAGCGTTCTGTACCGGTCCATTAAGCAAAACCATTAAATTGTAAAGAAACTGTTTTCATATCATTTTGACATGCACCTTTGTCGTGCAAAAACATTATTATGCCGGCCCAACAGCCAAACGCAAACATTCCGCTACCGGTCCATTAAGCAAAACAAAAGGTTCTGTTACCGGCTCAGTAAACAAAACAAAACAACATTAAGGACCATGATTTTGATCTTTTTGGAATCAACAGATCCTTCCACTGGTAACGTATGCTTTTTCAGGTTTGGAGCCATGAGTTTCAAACTTTGGGAATCCGCAGTTCCTTACAATGAAAGCCGCTTAGCTTCGAAAACATAAATTCTAACTTCTGGGAACCGGCAATTCCTTGCAATGGTAACCTCTGGTTCCCAGGTTGGGAACCGTAAGTTTCAAGGTCTGGGAACCGGCAGTTCCTTGCCATGGTAACCTGTGGTTCTCACGTTGGGAACCATCAGTTCCAACCTTTAGGAACTGGAAGTTCTTTGCAATGGTAACCTATGGTTCCCAGGTTGGTAAGCATGAGTTCCAACCTCCGGGAACCGGCAGTTGCTTGCAATGGCAACCTCTGGTTCCCAGGTTGGGAACCGTAAGTTTCAAGGTCTGGGAACCGGCAGTTCCTTGCCATGGTAACTTTTGTTTCCCACGTTGGGAACCATCAATTCCAACCTTTTCTATCTGGGGCTGGGGTCTATGCCGGTGTAATTTAGTTGCCAGTCGGCAACCGCATGATTCAGACACCAGCAACAACAAGTGCCGTGGATCGACACCGCTGTTTCACGGTTGAGATCTACTTACTGCGGGGAAGGGTCGGTCACTGCGATCTCCTTGAGGCCAATGTGAAACCAAGGTGAACCAGGATCAAATAGGCCATGAGAAACTGCTGTTCGAAGTTTTTTGATTTCAGAGATTGGCCCATGATTGCGCTTTTTGAGGGTACTTCATAATGCTTTTTGAATTCCATTCCAATTTCATTTGCTGCATTTGGTTGGTGCGCCCCACACACGTCGGAGGAGGCTTTCTGCATCAAAGATACTGCAGAGCGAGGGAGTGCGTGCGAGCAATTGGCAAAGATCGTTGCTTTCATCTCCAAGATGGCTGACAGATGGGCGAGACTTTCGGAGAACAGCGTGGGACAAGGCTGCAGTTTGAGACCTTCAACTTGTATCATGCGAATCATTGGATCATCAAACCAGCCACCGAAGCCTGATGTGTTGATGGTGTGACAACATTTTCCAATTTGAGGAATCTACCGTTTTTTTTTAAATTGGCAACATTATGCAGAATCCCAGGACGGCTATGCGAAAAAGGGCTGCAGCATGGTAGAGCTCATGGCGATTCAAGTGCAGAGACCTCACTGGTTTGTGTCACATGCTTGGATCGAGCCTTGGATAGGCAAACTCTCAAGGTTGTTTGAGACCGTGTTATTGCATTGTCTGTCGGCAACAAGTTACTTTTTCCACTAATAATTCACATTCCCAAGAAATGAACATCCAGCGTAGTGTAGATGAAAGTGCTTTGAAGCACGTCCAAGTGGGCAGATCTGTGAGGAACCTGTTTGTAAAGCAGCACGCTCTGGTGCGAGTCAAGCAGTACATTCATGTACATTCTATTGGGTCTGTGCATATGCCAATGCACTGCGTGGAAGAGGATATCAAAAGCGGCACTTCATTCTACAGAGCTATGCAGATGTCAATTCAGCTGGATTCTATGGCGTGGAAGGACAGCGTGCAGGAAAATGCCACCAAACTAGGCAGGTGGGTCAAACAGGTGCCGCCCGCCAGCCCTACTGCAAGTTTTGATGGCCCCATTCTACCTGCAGATAGGGCCAAGTGCGCAGCATTGGATTGGGAGAGGTATTGGAATCCACCGAATTTGAATCTGGGGGACCAGTTGTACTCTCAGATGGGCTCTGCAAGCGGCCGGATCACCAGGTTAGTGGTTCTGAATTGGCGGATTGCGCTCAAAGCGAAGGACAAGGCTCCGGGCATGGATGCCTGGACAGCTCTCCATTTGTGCAATCTTCCCATTGCTTTTTGGGATCAGTTGGGTGTTGCTTGCGACATGGCTGTGTTCCTGCGATGTGGAAAGATGTTAGAATTGCTTTGTTACCAAAAGCTACTGGTGGCATGCGCCCTTTAGCCATTGTCACTGTCCTGTGGCGTATTTGCATGATGCCAATTACAGCCTTGGAGGAATGGGCTTCGCCCGAACTTTTTGGTGGTTACCAGGCAAGGGCATCATGGAAGTTGTTTCTACGAAGCTGTGCAGTCTCGTGTCGATTTGGTCGGGTGCAGCTGATGTTCGCAGCCCTCAGACAGCCATTAAATGGCGATGGTTCGGTGCTCCCTCATCAATTTGTGATTTACTCGCTGATTTTTACAGTGAACAGCGTCGTTGGTTTGCTTGGCAAGGCTTGCTCAACGGGGTTTGTTGCAAGGCTGTCCAGCCAGCCCTGCGCTACTGCTTTGATGAAGGTTTGTCAAACGGCAGGAACCAAGGATTTCTTTGGCAGACGATCATGTGTTGTCAAAGTTTTGAAGTCATCAACGCCATGACTGCGGGAGCGCAAGCCGATGCTATTCTCGGCTTCGAACTTCACCCTGACAAATTTCGCCACCAAACCGCATCTGGTTGCCAAGGTGGCAAGAAGAAAGATTTAGTAGGTGTACCTGCGGATACTTTCACACTGCTTGGCATTCAATACAATTTGTCACGCCAGTGTGGTGCGATTCTTTTCTTGCACATTGCAGTGGGCAACCTGGAAGCAGCCTATGCGTTTTGGGGTGGCTCCTCCAGGTAGCCGGCTGCTCTCTGGGTTCTGCAAGACTTCCGATGTTTGCGCTCCAGTTGCGGAATGGAATCGGCAATGCCGCCGTGCCCAAAACCTCGCCTGCTCCTCGCTGGGTCTTTGGAAAGACTTGACGAAACGCCTGCGATTTTGAAACCTGGGTGGTGTCTTTGAAAAGCTTGCAAAAGGGCTATCCATTCAGGCTCCTAAAGACACCAAAACTGGTCGATTTTTCCTTTTTCAGATGGCTTTAGGCATGGATTACTAAGTCGCAGGGTTTTGATGCAGTGGATGGCAGGGTCACCGCTTGGTTCGCTTTGAAATGTGGATTGGTCTCCTGATCGAGAACATCTCACTTTTCACTTTGGTGAGTTCTACAACTTGTGGATGCTCCTCCTGTGTTGCCTTTTTCCAACATGGTTGCAGATCCTGCTTTGGTTACTTTTATTCAGCAATTGATCCTCTTACCTTGGGTTTGCAGTTGTATCATAGCTACTTCCTGTGATCGATGGCAAAGAGCTAGCTGGGCGGTTTCGACACTTTCAGGCACCACTGTTCAAGGTGCCGTGACTGGTTTCTTCAAACACCTGCTGCAGGTGAGCGTGCTGCTTTTGTGAAGCTTGTTTAGCCTCCCACAAACAGGGGATGCTCTGATTGACAATCAGGCTTTGGTGCGGCGGCTTCAGCGAGGCATTAGCACTGGCCGTTGGGAGGGTGACTTGCCGCTTTTCTGGCAGCGGATCAGCGGCTTATGATGATAGGGCATGTTTGCATTTGGATCCCTTCTCACAACAAGGTGCCTGACTGGACACCACCAGATGGTTGGATTGATGTTCATCTCTGCCGCGTTCTCAATGCGACAGCCGATGCTCAGGCATGAGGTGTTGCGTGACTCACGCTCCATGATCGCTGCGGCTGTGCAGCGACATCAGCGAGCCGTGGCTTGGGCTGCAGCAGTTTGGCGTCTGCAGCACGGACTTTACCTTGGCAAGTCGTACTTGATAACAAACATTCCTGCGGAATGCTAGCTGGCGCACTGTGTTTACTTCTTTTTTTATTTCGCTTTTTCATTGATTTAGATATATATAACTGATTCGCAGATGATACTTCCACTAACTCTTCAGGGGGAGCATGGACATTGCCATGTGAAGGGTTTGCGGTGGCAGTTTTTAGGCGGTACACTGAAGTGGCGGGCCTGTTATCTTTGGTCGACGGCTGGCAGCTGGTTTATACACTACTGGTATCGAGGTCTTCTTCAAGACCAGGCGCGTGTTTACAACCATGTGTTGGGATTATGGAGGGATCTCCCTTATTGGTCCCTTTGGGAAAACGGAATTCTTGGCTCTTCGGGGGTTTCTTAAAAATGCGGGACCCCTAATTTTCCTTAACATTGGTGATGTTTGCTGGGGGAACCCATCGATGTTGGGGTACCACACCTTTTAGAACCAGCCTAATTACCAAATTTCATGCAATCTCATTGCATCCGAACATCAACGCCTTTGGCCTCCCCTGCCCAGACATACACGCCTCTATGGACGGTCTTTTGGGATGTGTCGGATTATGGCGTTTGGAAACCCATCCTGGCACACGGCTCTATCCTGGCCGTTTGCTGGCTGGTGGGTGCCTTTGCGGCTGGTGCCTATTCCAAGGATGCGCTGGCGCCGAAGCCTGGCTACAGATGGACTGTTCATTTGGAGCATTAACCATCCAATTTTAGGGCCACTCAATTTTCTCGTGGGGTGACTAAGATATGGCTTTGTCCAGAAATGGGGATACTCCGAATCCAGCGATGAATCATGATATATTCCCCATTTCAATGGTAAGTTTTAGGAGAATGCCACATCTTCAGACAATTTTGGTGGGAATAATGATGATAAACCATTGGATTCTGGGGTACCCCTAGTTGAAGAAACCCAGATGGTGGGGTCGCTGTGTTCGAAGATTGGATGGTGGACATCCACACATTCCCAAATTCTCAGAATCAAGGCGACACTGTTTTGCAGTTGCCTGCTTGACATGAGGGTTTGACAATCCCAGGATCGATCTACCACTGATCTTAAAGCGGCTATGGACTGCTGGAATCATTGCAACGGTCCTTCTGGGGGCCTTCAACTTCCTCAGTGGCAACTTGGTAGAGTCGCAAGGTTTCCTGACGGCCTATTCCGCTGATGTAACGCTGCTCGGCTTTGTTTTTGAATATGTGGGTTGTTGGGACCTGTAATTACAGAAGCAGGCGGGTTGGCAAGACGTTGGAAAATGATTTCCATCTATGAGATACCTCAAAGACTGGCAAGATGCTTGAAAAGTGCACCCAAGGATGCAGAAACAATTCTTTGACTTCACGACGGATGTGGTCTTTGCAGCGGTTTGCTTAACAACATGGCGGCTATACTTTGCGGGATACATTTAGTGCACAGGACATATATATCAGTTTACACTCGGCAGTAAACAGTGAAGCTGCTTGAGAACAACCTGTCTCACCCCAACCTCACTGGAAAAAGCGCAAGATCAGCATAGTCTGAGTCACTCTTCGAGTCATGGCTTAGTTGATGCTCAGAGTGGCTCCGTGTCGCAGGGTGTTGCGATTTCCAAGATCCAAAGCCAAGCTGTGTTCACTGCCAGGGTAGCTGCCTTTCATGGCAACAAGCCCACGGTCCCCTCCTCAACTTGGCCGCGTAACGGTGCGTCGTGTGTTGCCTAGGTTGTTCGACTTAAGTGAGTTGCCAGCTGGTTCACCTGTTCAGAGCCCGCGACCGGGAAAACAGGTGGGCACATTTTTGGAGGTTTGCTTCGGAATACCCGACCTGAATCGACCTGAGGTAATCTTTATCATTCTTTATCACACTGTCATGGGATGGCGATTCGTACAGTACGACTAGAAGGATTTGCGATAAGTTTTAGGAAGGACTTGCATACCAATGATCTTGTGGCTGCAGCCTTTCAGGCAAGGCACTTCAGTGCTGACAACAACTAGTATCACTTTTAGGCTGAGAGACTTACACATGCAGTGGTTCTTTTGGATGACCCCAGGTTGGTTAGTGCAGTGCTAGAATTGGCAAATGCAGAAGCTACAGCAGCGTCCAAGTTACGCTTGGAGGCGTGGAAGGACAGCGTGCAGGAAAATGCCACCAAACTAGGCAGGTGGGTCAAACAGGTGCCGCCCGCCAGTCCTACTGCAAGTTTTGATGGCCCCATTCTACCTGCAGATAGGGCCAAGTGCGCAGCATTGGATTGGGAGAGGTATTGGAATCCAGGGTCGCTTCCGAATTTGAATCTGGGGGTCCAGTTGTACTCTCAGATTGGCTCTGCAAGCGATCCATTGCCGGATGACTGTATTCAGGTTAGTGGTTCTGAATTGGTTCGGATTGCGCTCAAAGCGAAGGACATCTATGATCGAAACTGCACTTTGGGGTCGAAGGGCTCCTCCAGGTAGGAGCCGGCTGCTCTTTTGGAATTCTTTGGGTGCTGCAAGACTACATCCGATGTTTGCGCTCCAGTTCACCGCCGCCCGGGCGGAATGGAATCGGCAATGCCGCCGTGCCCAAGGGTTGCCTGCAGCTACCTCGCCTGCTCCTCGCTGGAAAGCAGTGCTTAAAGATTGGAAATGGCGACTTGACGATGGCCTGTGGCACACGCCTGCTGGGATTTTGAAACCTGGGTGGATGTCTTTGAAAAGCTTGCAAAAAGCCGCTATCCATTCATGGCTCGTTGGTTTGTGGACTAAAGACACCAAAACGGATGGTCGATGGCCAAACGGCAAGGAGCCGGTTTTCCTTTTTCAGGCAAATGCAGCTTTAGGCATGGATTACTACAGTCGCAGGGTTTCGACTGGTGCTGCAGTGGATGGCAGGGTCACAGAGCGCTTTGGTTCTGCTTTGAGTTGTGAATGTGGATTGCGGTCTCCTGATCGAGAACATCTCACTTTTCACTGCCAAGCGCAGCCATGGGATGGTGAGTTCAGGAGCGCTACTGAACGTCGTTTGCTGGTTCCACTTGTGGATGCTCCTCCTGTGTTGCCTTTTTCCAACATGGTTGCAGATCCTGCTTTGGTTACTTTTATTCAGCAATTCGATCCTCTTCAGCGACCCACCTTGGGTTTGGACGGCAGTTGTATCATAGCTACTTCCTGTGATCGATGGCAAAGAGCTAGCTGGGCGGTTTCGACACTTTCAGGCACCACTGTTCAAGGTGCCGTGACTGGTTTTGAGCAAACACCTGCTGCAGGTGAGCGTGCTGCTCTTCTGCAAGCTTGTTTAGCCTCTTCTGCAGCTAACAGACCGGTGATGCTCTTGATTGACAATCAGGCTTTGGTGCGGCGGCTTCAGCGAGGCATTAGCACTGGCCGTTGGGAGGGTGACTTGCCGCTTTTCTGGCAGTGGATCAGCGGCTTATTGATTCAGGGCACTGTTTGCACTTGGATCCCTTCTCACAACAAGGTGCCTGACTGGACACCACCAGATGGTTGGATTGATGTTCATCTCTGCCGCGTTCTCAATGCGACAGCCGATGCTCAGGCATGTGAGGTGTTGCGTGACTCACGCTCCATGATCGCTGCGGCTGTGCAGCGACATCAGCGAGCCGTGGCTTGGGCTGCAGCAGTTTGGCGTCTGCAGAGGCTACGGACTTTACCTTTTTGGCAAGTCGTACTTGATCAACAAACATTCCATGCGGAATGCTAGCTGGCGCACTGTGTTTACTTCTTTTTTATTTCAGGCAGGTTTCGCTTCTTTTGAGTTTTGCTTGGAGAAGTATGGGAACTTGATTCTCGCAGATGGCATACTATGGCGTCTTAACTACTTCACTTCGGTGAGGAGCAGGTTGACGTCCGCTTACAACAACATGGCGATGGTTCGGTGCTCCCTCATCAATTTGTGATTTACTCGCTGATTTTTACAGTGAACAGCGTCGTTGGTTTGCTTGGCAAGGTTCTTATCACCCTCATCCGGTTATTGCTCAACGGGGTTTGTTGCAAGGCTGTCCAGCCAGCCCTGCGCTACTGAACGCTTTGATGACAGTTTGGGTGAGGTTTGTCAAACGGCAGGAACCAAGGATTTCTTTGGCTATTTATTTGGACGATCGCACCATGTGGAAACAAGGTTGTCAAAGTTTTGAAGTGGTCATCAACGCCATGACTGCAGGAGCGCAAGCCGATGCTATTCTCGGCTTCGAACTTCACCCTGACAAATTGGCTAGCTTCGCCACCAAACCGCATCTGGTTGCCAAGGTGCGCAAGAAGAAAGATTTAGTAGGTGTACCTGCGGATACTTTCACACTGCTTGGCATTCAATACAATTTGTCACGCCCCAGTTCTTGTGTTGATGCGGATATTGTCAGTGACAACATTCAGCGACGGTGTCTCAAAATTCGTTTGGCAGCACAGCACTTAGGCACTCGCATTGCATTGGTGCATAAGTTGGTGATATCTTTATTTGCTTGGTCCGGTGCTTTCCATCACTTCAGTGCAAGAACCATTCGAACATGGACATCTATGATCGAAACTGCACTTTGGGGTCGAAGGGCTCCTCCAGGTAGGAGCCGGCTGCTCTTTTGGAATTCTTTGGGTTCTGCAAGACTACATCCGATGTTTGCGCTCCAGTTCACCGCCGCACGGGCGGAATGGAATCGGCAATGCCGCCGTGCCCAAGGGTTGCCTGCAGCTACCTCGCCTGCTCCTCGCTGGAAAGCAGTACTCAAAGATTGGAAATGGCGACTTGACGATGGCCTGTGGCACACGCCTGCTGGGATTTTGAAACCTGGGTGGATGTCTTTGAAAAGCTTGCAAAAGGCCGCTATCCATTCATGGCTCGTTGGTTTGTGGACTAAAGACACCAAAACGGATGGTCGATGGCCAAACGGCAAGGAGCCGGTTTTCCTTTTTCAGGCAAATGCAGCTTTAGGCATGGATTACTACAGTCGCAGGGTTTTGACTGGTGCTGCAGTGGATGGCAGGGTCACAGAGCGCTTTGGTTCTGCTTTGAGTTGTGAATGTGGATTGCGGTCTCCTGATCGAGAACATCTCACTTTTCACTGCCAAGCGCAGCCATGGGATGGTGAGTTCAGGAGCGCTACTGAACGTCGTTTGCTGGTTCCACTTGTGGATGCTCCTCCTGTGTTGCCTTTTCCAACATGGTTGCAGATCCTGCTTTGGTTACTTTTATTCAGCAATTCGATCCTCTTCAGCGACCCACCTTGGGTTTGGACGGCAGTTGTATCATAGCTACTTCCTGTGATCGATGGCAAAGAGCTAGCTGGGCGGTTTCGACACTTTCAGGCACCACTGTTCAAGGTGCCGTGACTGGTTTTGAGCAAACACCTGCTGCAGGTGAGCGTGCTGCTCTTCTGCAAGCTTGTTTAGCCTCTTCTGCAGCCAACAGACCGGTGATGCTCTTGATTGACAATCAGGCTTTGGTGCGGCGGCTTCAGCGAGGCATTAGCACTGGCCGTTGGGAGGGTGACTTGCCGCTTTTCTGGCAGCGGATCAGCGGCTTATTGATTCAGGGCACTGTTTGCACTTGGATCCCTTCTCACAACAAGGTGCCTGACTGGACACCACCAGATGGTTGGATTGATGTTCATCTCTGCCGCGTTCTCAATGCGACAGCCGATGCTCAGGCAGGTGAGGTGTTGCGTGACTCACGCTCCATGATCGCTGCGGCTGTGCAGCGACATCAGCGAGCCGTGGCTTGGGCTGCAGCAGTTTGGCGTCTGCAGAGGCTACGGACTTTACCTTTTTGGCAAGTCGTACTTGATCAACAAACATTCCTTGCGGAATGCTAGCTGGCGCACTGTGTTTACTTCTTTTTTTCAGGCAGGTTTCGCTTCCTTTGAGTTTTGCTTGGAGAAGTATGGGAACTTGATTCTCGCAGATGGCATACTATGGCGTCTTAACTACTTCACTTCGGTGAGGAGCAGGTTGACGTCCGCTTACAACAACAACAGAACGCCTTTCGGGCAGTGCTCTTGAAGTTTCTGCTGCGGCTGTGCACTACGATCGCCCGATCATTGTCTTCCAGCCTCGTGGGGTTCCGGAGATTTACAATGGTCGTGGCAAGGGGGGTGCTCCCATCGCTTTGTGGTTTCGTTCAAAGCACTATGAACGACTTGAAGGTGCTTTCCCTCCTGAAGTTTTGACTCAGGCCGCAAATGGTCCAATGCAGGGCAACAGAGGTGGAGGATCGGAATGTGGCGCTACTTCAGTTGGTGCCACCAGATTGTCAGCTTTGCCGTCACTGGTTCATAGCAACAATAAACGTGGAAGGTGTGCTACCCCCGCGCCCGCCTCTACTTTGTCAGAGCAGCGCAAGAATTCTTCTTCCCCTGCGGCTGCTACTTCGGGTCGGGGTCCGTGCACGCCACGTGCAGCCAGTGAAGGACAAGACGCAGCCAGTGCTTCGTCCAGACGCACTAAGCGTACTGAGGGGACATGCCCTTTGTGTGACTTTTCCACTGGGGTGTGCAAAGGATGGGTTGACAAGAAGAGAGCTCATATCAATGCTTGGCATCCCGATGAGAAGGAACAGTTGAAAATCGGCTTCAAAAACACGTTGCCTGCGCTGTCTGCGGTCAAGAAGGGAGGAGTCTATAGCTGGAAGTGTCCTGTTTGCAAACTTGGCTTGTCCGCTGATCACAACCTCAAACCTAGCCAAGTGTACAGCGTCATCCGCAAGCATAGGGAAGACAAACATCCTCAGGCGGATGCCAAGCTCTTCCACAAGGACAGCAGCTTCAGACGGGAGAATGCTAGCAAAGCCACGCGCCAGGT